ATGCAGAATTTAAGAAACTAAAACCAAAATGTCCTGTCACTTTTACATAATCGTTCTGTCCGCTCTGTCACTTATAACTGCCTACAGACAAAGCTACCTTGATCTCTCTTTCTCCTGGATACATAAATTCTCATACAAAGTAATGCATGAGTTAACTCTAGCACAAGGCTCTCTCGATCCATGTTAGTCCTCAACCCAGAAATATGCACATGCATACACTCAGAACTCCACATGCAATTTTTATGGGTCCATCCACAAATTCAGGGCCGCAGGCACTTCCTCAAACACATCCCAGAACTATAGGTAAGAGAATGATCTAATGATATTATAAACTTTCCATAAAAACCAGTGCTCAGTATGGAATTTTATACAACTCCATGCAACCATGGGCCCCAATGTATCTAATTTAAAAATTAAACCGTTAACTCTTGGAGAGTGGGGACACACACAACACAAAGAACTTCACAATCTCATTTGCAATTAAAGACAGACAAGAAAGCAATTACGGTTAGGTGGCTTCTTAGCTTAGTAGGAGACCTGTGAAGGAAAAGGACGCAGGCTGTCTAACCCTGCAGATCAGATGAGGTTGGGGGACAAAATGTAAAAACTGAACGGCACTGTACTCACATGGTGAAGGAGCCAGGGGGAGCAGACACTCGCCGCAGGTCCGCAGTTTGCACCTGATGAACACTAGAGGCAGCAGGGAATGGGCAGCGAAGACAGAGTCAGCACGACAGCGTGGACAGACAAGGAACAAGCCAGGGAGAGAAAGAGAGACACACAAAATTTAAACAGAAATTAAATGAGCGCATCACCAAACAGTGAGTGAACGGAAAAGAAAAATCAAGCCAGCCACGGAAATAATCCAAAAAAGCCAGTGGTAGCGACGAAGCCGACAGGACACATGGAAGGGGCTGGTTCTAGGCAAGCCACAGACTGGAGCAAGGGGCCAGTGCAGGAGGTGGGTTGGGGGGGAAAGCGGGGCAGGGAAGGCGGGAGGGATTACATGACCTCTCTTGCTCTGGGTCACTTAGGACACCCCGGGAGAAGAGGCACACACTTACACATCAGAGAATGGTAGGCTGGCACAGTAAACTCATCTTTGAGGAGATTAAAGGTCAGTCTAGTCCTTTCACACAGGCTTCATGGCTCCCCAGGCTTTTAGGAATGTTCACATCAAAAGACAACCATCTTGAAAACAGTGACTCAAACAAAACTTTAACTTCCTTCAATTAAACAATGAAGGCTTTTTAAGAGTTCCAGAGGCAATACCAAGAAAGCCTACTTCCACCACTATGATGCTGTAATTCCACCCACATTCTGGGTAGAAAAGTGAAAGCATAGACTTTGCCCTTGCCTCCCTTGTTTTATAATGGAGAGAGTCTACAGTGGCTATTAGAAAAGACAAAATGCAGAATTTAAGAAACTAAAACCAAAATGTCCTGTCACTTTTACATAATCGTTCTGTCC